CTTGTCAGCCCTCCGGGGAGATATCATTTTAAAGTTAATTCCTTCTACTCTATGGGTCTCTAGAGTAGGATAAATATTACAGTACTAAATACTTGTAGGAAGATAAAAACAGTCTCTGTGGGATTCTTTCTTGATAAATGCAGTTAGTGGAAAATACGCCACAACGGTAAGTGTTATATATAAAAGAAACCCATTTATTGTTTATTCAATAAATGGTTTTGTCAAACTACTTGCTTTCAGTGTGGATGTGAGAACTCCCTCCCTTGAGCTTGAAGGAAACTTAGCTTAGAGTCTTTCTCCCATACTCTTGTTCTAAATAAGACACTGCAATTTTAGCTGCAGGTATTTATTTCATGTAGCATTTTATCAAGGAACTTGTGATTACGTGTCCTTTTACAAGTGCCAAATTGAACCAGAACAATTAAATGGCCTGGAAGTGATTCAAGCTTAAACATTTGATAGCAATAGAAATATATTTCTATTATTCAGTAGCCTTTGGCATTAAAGCCTCAGTGTTGTTTCAGGGAGTTATGTAACTATCTAAAGTGTTCAGCAAAACTCAATGTGTACTTGATGGACATCTACCCACTTCAGTCACAAGGAAAATTCATACTCCCAGCACGACGTGACCTTGGTGCAGCCATTGAAAGAGTTCTGTTGTTTCTCTTATGAGTTTATTTCAACTGGCTTCACACTTATTATATCAACTTTATTTCTCTTACAATGGTCATGAACCATTTCAGAATCTCTCCCGTATACAGAGTTTATTATATTGCTAAAGTTTTGATAAATACAGAAATCCAAGAAGCATAAGCTTCTTTTAGTGAATGAGGCATTTTTTACAAGAAATCAATACTTTTTTAAAAATTAACCATTGTGAAATTCTCCTATGCTGTGTAGAGACATTGCCACATAGCTCAATTTACTTCCGACATCCAATTTACTTTGTCCGCATTCAAATGACTTTCCAAGTAGCAAGAGTTGAAGAAAACTGGGAGAAAAAAAAAAAAAAACTCTGTAGAGTGCTTAGCTTTCTTAAGAGTTTTAGAAAATAATGGCAAATGTATATATTAATAAATGTATATATGCACTTATACATATTTACAGAAATTCAAATAGAACTTTCTAGAAAAATATGAATGGTCTCTGTAAAATCTTACCTAGTAGAGCTAGCCAGTCTAAACTACTGACCAAGGCCTTTCTCAGTCCTTATGAAAATGTTAAGTGAATGTAATTTAGGTACATGACACTGAAACTTTTTCATCCTACAGCTTTTATATAGCAAATGTTAGGAACTGAAGGGTACTTACTAATTGAGATTGCTTTTGTTGTTGTTATTGTTGTTGTTTTATAGTGTCCTGATTCAGCATGTAAGCAGGATTTATTAGCCTACCTTCAACGAATTGCCTTGTATTGCCATCAGCTCAATATCTGCAGCAAAGTGAAGGCTGAAGTACAGAATCTAGGAGGAGAGCTCATTGTGTCAGGGGTAAGCCGGGACCTGGGCTTCATAATGTAAAGTCCCCACTGTTGTGTCTCTAAGGCAAGCCTTCTTGGCAACAGTACTGCTAAAAAAACCCACCAAACTACAGTGATTCACGGGGAGTTTCTTTTTCAAAAAAAAAAAAATAATAAATGTTATCACCATTATTCCAGACCTTACAATAACTCACAAAGAGCAATTTGATTTTCCAATTACCCTGTGTTTATACGAGCCTTGTAAAATCTCCATTCTTCACAAGAAAACTAATTTCATAGTCTGGAAACTCATTGCCAAGCTGTGACTATTATAATTATTTGGGGCTTTTGTATATTTACTCATTGTGAGTCTACTTCCCTTTGTTAGTCCTAGTAATTTTCATTCTATGTTCAGGAGCCAGCCTCTCTATTTGTGGACTGTGTTCACGTTAGAGATGATGAAAATAATAGGAATCCATTGATCAGGTTCCAATGCATACTAGGTTATCAGTAACCCTTGAAAGTTAAAGGATGTTTAAATTTAATATAGTTTGATGTGCTGTTGCCAAAATCCAACATAATTGTCGAACACGAACAATTATATATTCTTTGCTAAGTCTCTACAGTGTTTCCCTTCTCATGAAAATATAATTACACTAAACCATTTCCATCAAATACATGGAAATAAGAAGCCATCAAATGCATAGGAACAAGAAGTTCAATGAATATTTAGAAGAATCATGATTTCTTGGCAAGATTTCCAAATGTATGTGTTGAGGTTCTTCACCTTGGCTTCTTCTCCCTCATCCCCTTTCTCTCAACACAGGATGCCATTTATTATAAATTATTTGCAAGTTCAGAAGCGTGGCTCTGCCACCTGAGTTCTTTTCCCAGTGAACCATGATGTTGCCATTTTAAGTGTAGAATTGCCAGGAAAGAAAACATTATAGACACAATGAATGTGAACATCAGACAAGTCACAAAACTCAATTCTTCCTGAAACTATTTTTAGAAATTCAACAATTGGATCACTTGATTAAAATCTGTGGAAAAAAAAATCATAAAGTCATTCTTGGATCCAAATGTTTCAATTCCTATGTTGTTTGGCTTGTGGAAATCATCGCTGGGAAAAGAGCTGATCTGGCTTGCATGGCAAGTCCATCTGGAAAGCCTGATCCATGCAGTCCTACCTTACAGCTCAATACATTGGCTATTTTGTGCCTCTTCCCAAAGCACAGTCACCTCTTTGCATTTCCAAAGTGATTCTGCTTCTACATTCTTCCACAACCAAGAGCAATCTGTCTTGCAATGTGTCCTTCCTGCCAAGCTGCTTAGTTATCAATATTCTCTCGCCAAGAAGTGATCAAAACATTGCATCTCCCTTGCTTCCTTTCTTATCTTCAGCCTTGATGGTAGAGTTTCCCATACCACTCTGCTTTCATGTCCATCTGTATACAGCACCTGTGGAACCGAGTGCTTTTTGTTCAGCTTGCCTTGTGTGCTTTCATTTGTTACTTTCCAAATCTTATTATTTACATGGATGCACAAAGCATCTTTGTGGATCTCAGACTCCACAAACTCATCTGGGCAACAGTTTACTGGCAGAGCTGCTCTCCATCATCCTCTCAGTACCCATTGTTCATCCCTGCCTTCAGAGCTTTCGTTTCCATTGTCTTTTTCTCATTTAGATGTAGTCCAAACCATCACTGGCTTTTGTCACTTGCACTGTTGGCATTTGCAGAGGTGTTTGACATTGAGAACACCATCAAGAAGCCTGTGTCTTTCTTTGAGTCTCATTGGCAAAGTTCATAAATCCTTGCATGGGAGAAGGCTTCTTTTGGAGGAATGTCATACTTTATAATGATTCTGAGTCAAATGCATTGTCAGAGTTTGCTATTATATTGCTCAGTTACAGGCCTGCTCTCGGCCTCCTCATGATTTTTTTGTTTTGTTTTGTTTTTGTTTTTTTCTGAGCTTGATTGCTGTGTGGTGCCACACCCGCATCTGTAGATTGCTGTCTTCGCCACTTCTGCTTCCATCTTATTCTTCATCCTCCTTCACTAATGGCCAATGGAGAAAAAAAAAAATCAACATGCTTACTGTGCAAAATAGCCACAAATGACTGCCTTCAAAGTTCTAAAAAAGTCAAGAATGTGAGACCCCATACACACAGATTTTCAATGATTTTGCCAAGAAAATTGCACCCACGTTTGGACCCCATTTGTTGTGTTGTCTGTTGTGACAATCGGTCACTATATTTTTCAGGAGAAGCCAGTGTAGTTTCATGTGTAATCAAGAAAAGAAGATACTTGAATCTTCTTTCCTTTTTGGTGTGTTTATGTCTGTGGGATTCAACACCGTGGCTTCTTCTCTGAAATATATGAAAACCCCAGGAAAGTTTTATTTGTTACAAGTCAAAGTCTCCACCGAAAGAGTAGAGATTTGAACAGATTATTTACATTTGCCAAGAAAAATGATTTGAATTTCAAAACAGAGAGCCACATGTTTTTATGGTCTTATGCTGGCACAATGGACATATGTTAAGCAATTATGTGCCATGTCAGCATATTTACGTTTTATGTGATTTTACATGAGCAGCCTGGGAAAGACCTATGGTGCTGTGTCTGCTTTGGTTTAAGAGGCGGGGAAGGAAAACTACTCAACATGGGAGAGAACGGGTGCAAAAGCTCTATGAGTCATGATGGGAAATTAGAGTAATTAGATAAATAAAGTACTCTGAGATGTATGTCTATGTATGCTTATTCACAAATCAGCTCTCTGTAAAGCACCATTAACTTTCTGGCTGGCAACCAATTTTTTAAGCCATTGGTTTAGACATTTCTCAATGGCCTAAAGGTGCCATCCTTTCCGAATTTAAAGGTAGAAGATGTATTTGTGAGCAAATTAATTCAACTTGGTTATAAAAGAAATGATTGGTTGTAAAAGAAAAAAAAACTTTTTAGATTATTGGAATGATGGATATATTAGAACAAATGTGGAAGAAACTGTTTCAGAAGATGAAATAGCCAGTTAGTCTATAAACTAGCTTTGTTTGCTTAGGTTAATGTTCATTTATTTCAAAGTATTAAGCCAGTTGACATGTATTTTAGAAAGATGAATTAAAAAGGAAGAAAAGATGAAAGGAAGAAGGAAAGAAAGAGTAGGAGGTAGGGTAGGAGTGAAGAGGAGTGAAGAAAAAAGAAAAGGAGAGAGAAAAGAAAGGGAACCTTAACCATGGTATATCAAAAATTAGTTTTTTGTATGTAAATGTTCACTAATGTGACAGCTTTATATCATCATGGGAGAAAATTTGAGCCAGATATTTTAAGTATATAAATACTATTATGAATATAAACAAATGTCAATGTCATGATATGGAAATTACCTATATATTTAATTATCGTATTTTGAAATCTAATTTTTATTCATTGATTTCAGAGAATTTAATGGGTACTTTTAAAGTTAATAAAAAAATGTATACCTGGATCTAAAGAAATAAAAATCATCTCATGACTTTCGATGATTTTTATCTGCCAAAAATGTATATGTTGTGTGTTATTCTGAATGAGATTGGAAACACTAATGTATTGTTTTCATGAACCTCAAGTATTCTGATAAAAGGGAAAAGATTCCCCTAAGCATTTTTAAAAGGCTCTAATACATTATAGCAATTAAGCCAGAACAAAAGAGCAGGAAAGAAATTTGATATTTTAGTGAGAGATGGAGGGACTAGGATTTAACTTATAGCTGACTATACACAGAAAGTATATTAATTTTAACTGATTTTATTACATTTACATTTTTTTCTCCACATGAACCAAATGTATGAACAGAGTTCAGAGATGAGGTATGTTAGACGCCTAAGTCTTCAGGCTTTGTGAGGGGACCTCTGACCCATTCTTAATTCCAAGGGCTGGTGAGACTTATCCTAATACACATTTTAGTTCTTTGCCATTTAAACGTCTTATCAAATCTGAATCATTCTCAATTGGATATTGGGGTAGAGTTTGATAAACTGAGCAAGTATAATTTGTGACACTGGTAGGATCTGTTGGTAAAGAGAAAAATTGAGGAATAAGGGATCAATTGCAGGTCAGACTGCACATATTATTTAAAAAAATTTGGCTCAATTAAAATCATGAGTGGGGATAGGAGTAGGAAAGACAGTGGAATGAATTTGACCTAACTTTCCTATGTATATATATGAATACATGTGAATTTCCACATCATGTGCAACCACAAGACTGGGATCCTAATTAGAATAAGATATATTCCATGTTTATATAAATATGTCAAAATATACTCTACTGTCCTATATAACTAAAAAGAACAAATACAAAATAATTTTAAAATTGCCATGATGTTCATGGTGATGAGTAAGAAATATTCCTAAAATATTGGAAACTAATGATTTCCAAGTCAGTCTTTCCTGACACTGGCTTGTAATCAAAGATGCTCATCTATGTTCATCTATACACAAAACAAACACACTCAATGTGACGTTTCCTGTCTTACTCTTTCAATGTGCAAATAGTAAAATGATTTTTATGTCTGATCTAATGCAGTTTAGGAGAAATAAAATGAGGAGATATATTTGTACAGTACAGTGTGTGTGTGTGTGTGTGTGTGTATGTGTGTGTATGTATGTATGTGTGTGGATAGATAGGTAGATAAATAGATACACAAATACTTTCCCATCATATATATGATATATTGATGAGAAATGCATTAGGACAGTTCTGTATTCCCAGTATACCAAAAAACAAATGCCAGTATTTTGAAAAAGAATGAAATAGTCATGGGAACAAGCATTACATCTAATTGTGCAGACCTGTAGTTGAAGGAACCCTTTTTGTGGAGTATTTTTATATCTTCTGATTCTGTCTGTAGTCAATTCTTGATTCTCTCCACTGATCAAAGTGTAGCAGTAATAGAAAAAAAAATATAAATTGCTAGCTATTTCAATTTGGGTTTGGAATGTATTTCTGTGCTTCATTTGAAAGGATATGTGTTCAAGAAATTCACAGCAGT